CTTCCTCCTGGACTCAGCCGCCAGCAGGGATGTGGCTCACCCTGTGGTTAGGCCAAGCCGGGCCCAGGCAGGATCCCGACTGGGGTTCTGCCTCCAACAGCACCCATGCTAGGCATCCCCCAGCCTGCGGCAAGGCCACTGAGGGCACCAGGTGAGCAGGGGGTGCACCAGGTAAGCACAAGGCCTTGGGACAGGCCTCGAGGGTCAGGGGTGTTTGGGCTCATTTTTCTGTTTCATTTGACCCCATAAGGGCAAAATTCTGCCATATTTAACATTTGGCCAACTGTGGAAGAAAACAAACTCTTGAAGCAGGCTGTGCCTTGGGGTACTGCCCTGGGAGCCTTGCTCTCCAACTCCCTCTGCGGGGGCACAGTGGCCTAAAAAGGGGGCTGCCACCTCTTCTCCCATGGTGTGGCCCAGCCAAGGCCTGGCCAGCCCCACCTGAAGCTCCTACCCGGCCTTGCTCCTGCTGCCCCTTGGGCTGCACCCAAGCCCCCTCCCCTCCCGCACCCCTGCTGGCCCCTCCCCTCCCTGCTCTGAGAGCAGCCCATGTCCCGCACTTCCTGAGCCGCAGTCCCCCAGTGGCCCTGGCTCCCACTCCTGCTCTGCTCTGCAGCTCTGCCCCGCACATCCCATGGGATTCTAGGAATGCTGGGGTGCTATTGCCCTCTACCTTTCTCGGCCTGGGGAGGGAGATCCACGGGCACCAGGTGGACCTGTCGGAGCTCTGGGCAGGGCGGTGTTTGGGGTGGGCCATCCAGCGTGGGGACTGGAGGTCAGCCTGTGCTGTGCGGTGATGACGTGCTCACGGACAGTGGAGGAGCGCTGCTCACTGTGTGGCCCGCCCCAGGGAAGGGGCTGGGGGGCATCAGGCTAGGACGTGACGCTCTTCAAAACCTGTGCCAACCCACGGCTGGAGCTGAGACTTGGCCCCTGAGTTAGGGAGAGACCTCGTCCCCTAGGGGACGAGATGGAAGCAAGATGATGACTGTGCCCCTGAGTCACTGCGGGCTTCAGTGCTTTGGGAGAACCCAAAGCCGGATGCTGGGGGGACTAGGAAGAGCCATATGTGCCCCAAGGCCTTGGGAGGCTGCCCCTGCTCAGCTTCTCCTCCCTCCTGTTGGACTGGGATGCACCTGCCCCAGCTGCCTCGGAGGCAAGAGTGTCCTCGAATGCCCTGCAACTGCTTGCCAACTGCCAGCGCCAATCATCAGGAAGGCCTTAGACACACTCTCTTCAAGAAACTTGTAAAAATGGTGGAGATGGTCACCTTCTGTCAAACTCAAAGGCTGGTATCAATTCTATGAAGCCCAGGAGGCCTAGGAGGGAGCCACCCGCCACCTCTCCTCCACCTCCTTCTCTGCTGCCCCCACTGCACTGCCCCTCCCTGCACCGCCCGCCTCCCCTGCTCTCCAGTCCCCCTCCCGGATTCCTCAGAGCAGCCGCCTCACCCTGGCTGGCACCGGGGTTTAGCCGGGATGCAGCTCTCAGCTGCTCGCTGGATGCAGGGAGCTGCGCTGCTCCAGCCCCTCCCCTGGACCAGCCATGTCCACACACTGGAACCAGCACCGACATACTGACATCCCCTGCCTGGCCCTCTGGTTGGGGACAGGAGGCTGAGACACACAGAAAGAAGAGTCATCAGACTCACGCCAGGCTGGGGGCAGGAGACACACTTGCCTGACCCGTCCTTCATCCCCATGGGGGACGGTGTCAGCACACAGCAGAAACTCAGTGAGCACGTGGGGCGGACTTGCTCAGGTCGCACAGCAGGTTGTAGTACGTGGTGTCTGGAGCCTGCTAATTAGCACTGGAGGCGGGAGGCGAAGGCACAGGGCTGGAGAGATGGGGTCCAGTGAGCTGAGAAAGTAGTGCTTAGCCTGTGAGCAAAGTGGGCGTCCTGCTCAAGCTCTGTCGACCCAAGCATGTGGGCTGGGGCCCCGGTGGTCACCACAGGAGCCCAACACCACTGTCCCGCCCCCTAAGGGGTGGCAGCTCCTGAGAAGGCTCCGAGGAGCTGGGAGGTTGCCTCTGCTTGCAGCAGAGGAGGAGCAGGGGCCTGGACCGAGGTGGGAGGGGGCTGCGCCCTCCCACCCCCTGGCTTGACCCCACTCAGGGCTCACTCTGCCCTCAGCTCCTTTTGAGGGACCAAGAATCCAAGTGGTACTTTGTCTTTGTCCTGACCCCTCCTCTCCTTCCTGGCTCTGGCTGCCAGGGAGCCTTTTCCTAGGCCTTTTCCTCATGTGATTTCTGGTTTTTCACATAAAAATTTAAGCATCCTGAGGTGGACATTTGCTTTCCAGAACCATCACTGCCTCGGGGGGCTTGGGTGCTGCCTCCTCCCCTCAGCTCACGTGGTCTCCCTCGGTGTGTGCTGGGTGGGCTCCACTGGCTTCCTGGAAATCCACCTCATGACCTCACCTGTCCCTAGGCCCTGCCAGAGCCCTCCTCCAACACCATACTGGAGTCTGGGGATGCAGACCAGCCCCAAGCAGGGCCTATCTGTCAGGCACGGTCCTAAGTGTGCCCTTGTGTCAGTGAACCCCCAGATCACCCAGCAAGTGGGTGATGGGTCATCTGGTGGCACAGGGAAAGCAAGGCACCAGGCCAGTTGCTCAGCTGGCATGACAGCCACCTGGCTCCTGTGTCCTGTGCAGTCACTGGACAGGCGAAGTGTCATCCTGCTGTCCTGACCGCTCCCTAGAGAGCTCCATGAAGGTCTGCAAACGACTGCAACTCACCATGACGGGCCCCACCGGAGCCGCGGATGACAGACTCCAGGGTGTCAGGCCCCTCGTGCCGAGGGGACCAGCGCCGACTGAAGTAGCAGCAGCAGCTGCGGAAGGCGGAACAGGCTCTGCCCATGGCCGACCGGAGGGAAGGGGCAGTCTGAGGGAGGTGGAGCGGCCTAGAAGAGGGGCGCGGGGGCCGTGGGAAGCAGGTTGGGTCAGCAGGTCCAGAATCCCCATGGTGAGAAAGGCTTAGACTCCAAGACCATCTGGTTTCATAAAGGCTCCAGGAAGCACCCTCAGCGCTTTCTGTGACAGTGCCCAGAGGCTGCTCTCTGGTCACCACGAAAGGCCCTGCAAGAAGCGTGAGCTGCCCACACTAAGAGGGGGAAACAGCAAGGGTTTACCAGTGAAGCACCGGGCTGCTGTGGAATTCAGGAACTGTGGGCCAGGAACCTAGGTGCAGCTACCACCCCGTTTGCCTTGATCGCCGCAGTCCTGCTTGACCTATGCCCTGGGGGAGTGGGCTGGCCCTGTGGTCTGCCACCACGGCTGCATAGTCCTGCTGGGATCGCATCCAGCGTGAAATTGTCCAGTAGGTCAGTCCCCACGCATCCAGTCAGTGCTGTATGTGTATAGAAGAAGGACCTGGCCTCTCGTGGCCATTGAGGAAACAGACTGACCCAAACTAAGTCCAGAGTATAGGATGGGTGTGAGGGGCCAGGCAGCTGGCATAACAGATGGCAGAGGGCTCTCTGACGCATGGCCTTTAGAAGGTAGGGGCCCAGGGGAGTGGGGGGATGGGCTTGATGGAAGCTTGACCTGGATAGAGGCCCTGCCTGGACAAGTCTGGCCTGGGCACACAGGCTGCAAGCGCCCCTGCCCAGCAGAGGGACTGCACCCGGGAGAGCTAGGCCCCGAAGAAGTGCTGCGCCTGGGGAGGGCCAGGCCCAGCGGAGGTGCTGCATGAGGGGGGTTGGTGTCCAGGCCCAGTGGAGGTGCTGCCCCTTTCAGAAGCTATCTGAAACCACACAGCTAACAAAGTACTTTTACCCAAAATATAGAAAGAATGGCCCAAATCAGTAGTAATTAAGCACACAATCAACCATCACCTTAACATCAAACGCAGACTTCACCATGACCCGTGAGCCTATGGACCTGCTCGCATTTGTGCTGTGTCCACATTTGGGGCAAGGGGCAGGGGAGGGTCATTCGCTGTGGGGGTCAATGACAGTGCTGCCCTGAAGTCAGCAGGTGGCATCACACAAAGTCGGGCACACACTTGCCACAGGACCCAGCAGTCGACCTCCAAGGGCATGGGCAGAGTCAGACGCGGGTCCACACATGTGGTCACTGGTCACCAGGCACTGCGTGGCTGGCTGCCATGTGCCAGCAACACTGTGGACAAAAACAGGCATGGCGAGCTCTGCCCTGCAGGTCAGCCTGATAGCTGCTGCTGGAAGTGACGCATCCTTTCTCACAGGGACCTACAGGCTGGCGCTGGACAGCTCTCTGCATGTCACCAAGCCCCAGGAGCAACGTGGACTCCCTTTAGTGGGAAGGGACACGCAAGCTGGTGCATCCCCATGGTGGAGTGCAAGGCGAGGAGGTGGCAGGGTCTGGGCACAGTCGCCCAAAATGTCTCAGACACAGTCGCGTGAGCCTCCCGAGGGCAACACTGTGGGCACTGGGGCTGGGGACCTTGGTGAACTGTCTGCACCCACGGGGGCCAGGGCATGTGACCAAGCAGTGAGTCCTAACCCTGCTGGGCGGCGAGCCCGGATTCCGCCCGTCAGCCCCTGCCCACTTAGGCTTCCTGCAGAGAGGCCCAGAATGCTCCCTCTCTGGACCCACAGGTCCCACAGTTGGGTGGGAGCTGTCTGCTTGTGCAGCTGTCCCCTCTCATTTCAGGGAGACTGGGGATCACGGAGAAGCACCAGCACATGCTGGGACACCTGCCAGGTGGGTCTCGGGAGGGTGCGAGGAAGGTTGAGTGCCCCACACCCAGAACCGGGCCTGGGCTGCCAGGGGAAGACACACAGCTGCGGCCCCCAAGGCACAAGGCAAGCTGGACACAGCCTGAATGGTGAGCAGAGCAGGGCAGGCACAGAGGCCGAAGGGCGCTCGGCCAGAGAGAGACGTGGGTCCTGCTGGCCCCAGCCCCAAGGCGCTGCCCCTCTACGCACCTGCCTTTTTTGGGTTGGGACGGGGAACAAGCAGCCCCGTGTGATGTGGCCAGGAGGGCAGAGCCTGAAAGGAGGAACCAGCCTGCAGAGTCCCCACTGACTTTATTTCACTGGAAGTCTCAGGGGAAGATGGCCCTCAGCAGGGTGCGGACAGGACCAGGCGTGCAGAGTCTCCCCTCACCCACAAGGCAGGAAGCAAAGCGAGTGGGCCGCAGCTGGCGCCCGACACTCCCAGCCACCACGGCCACCCTCCGGAGGAGGACGGGTGCCGCTGGCAGAAGCTCCTCCGCACCCCAGAAGGGCTCCTGTGAGAAGGCAAGGTTGGGCTCCCAGGGCGGGAGCCGCCTGGAAAGGACTCACTCCAACAGCGGCCAGTGTCGGAGACTGTGAGAGGAAGGACAGAGAGGGCCGGGCGCTAGAGCAGTATGTGGTATTTCAGCGCCCTGGGGACCCTGTTGATGACCAGCCTGCCATCGTAGCTCAGGGAGGCAAACAGCCACGGGTCAGCTGAGGACCAGTCCACAGCGTACACACTGTCCTCATGCTCCTCGTACGTGGCGATGACGTTGTCCTGCAGGGGCTCCTTGCTTCTGCAACCCAACAGAGAAGAGCTGTGAGCCAGGCCCAAGGGCAGCAGAGGACAGGAGGGATCCCATAGGGAGCCGGTCTCTCATCCAAACCACGGGAAGCCCACACGGCCTGGCTGAGCCCAGTGTGTGGTCCCTCACTGGTTGTGGGGAGAGGACGTCAGTGACCTGTGGGCATCAAGGACACCTGCAGCACAGCAGCCCCTGGTCCTCAGTGCTGTGCTCAGTGCTGTGGGTGCCTGGGTGAGGTGCTGGCTCAGAGCAGTGCTGGGGAAGCGGTCCCCATGACTGAGGAGAGCGTGGCATCAGATCTCCAGGAACTGAGCTGGGAGCATCTGCCCTACTCCCCTGCTGCAGAGAGGTCAGGCAGCACGAGGGCCCTGCCAGCGTCCCTGAGCAGAGGGTGTCGTGTGCCAAACAGCAGACCACCTCTGCACCTCCTTGGAGGAGAGTCAGCTCAGGCCTAGAGGCCTGCCCAACAATCTCATGCTAGGATGACGGGTGGGGTCAGCACCTGCAGGCATGAGCAGCAGGGGCCTCCGGCCTGTGCTCACGGAGGGCCGGCAGCAGGCACAGGTGCTTGGCGCTCTCCTTCCCACCACCACAGGAAGTCCCCTCCACTCATACCCTAGTCCAGGGCCTGTCTGTCTCTCAGCAATACTTTATCCCACAACGAGACAAACCTAGGACCCCAAAGCCCCCACTCTGGAAGTAGGCTTTGAGAGGCTGTGGGTATCCCTAAGCTCTGGCCTTCCCAGATAGTGGACTTTCCAATGGTCAACAGACATGTTGTGACAAACACCAAGTATAACCCCCCACAGGGACTTCTCTCTCCTTGATTTAAAGGCATCAAGATGGAGGGAGGGTACCTGCCGACCACAAGTGCTTCCTCCCTGAAGCTGCTCACACACTGGCCACATGTGTGAGTAGCTCACACATTGGTCACATGGCCTACTGAGGGGACAATCAGCTTTCCCCAACAGAGAGGACATGTGAATGGCTGCAGACAGCCTGGGAGGAAGCCAAATCCACATGTCCAAGTCCTCATGGCACATGGCAAAGGAGGGGTTGGAACCAGGCGCGTGCTCACAAGTCCTTTCGCTGGCCCTGTTTCTAATATTTGATTGACAGACAGCATTGCCCATAGCCACTGGTTTTATTCCAGAACCTCCTCCTCTGGAGTCGGAGGCATGGGCCTCTGTGGTTGCTAGGCCTTGCTCCACTGATCTGGAGGGAGAGGGAGGCTGTTGCAGGTGGAAAGGGACCTACACAGACTGCAGAAAGGAGCAGCATGCTTGGCTCACACTGGGAGCCTGCTGTCACTAGCTACGAGTGACCCTAGGGGACAAGTCACAAGGGATGTGAGCCCTGGGACAGGGGGCTGCCCTAGCCGTCTCCCAGCCACAGGGCAATGGAGCGCTGATACGCGCGCACAACTTCCCCATTGTGAACAACACCCGGGGACAACCAGGACCTAGCTTTGTGCCCCAGAGGTGTGTCTGGACTCCAGCCCGACACGGGCTGAGGGTGGAGAGCACACAGTCCATGCTCGAGTCTCCACAGCGAGCACCCGGAGGCCCGGGAACACCAGGTCACATCACTGCCATGCTCACTCCTGGAGAGCATCAAATTCATTCAGGTTTTGTAGGTGGCATTCGTGAAGAACACAGGAAGATATGCCCTGGGGCACATTCTAACACCACCACAGAGCTGTCTCAGGGCCAGGTACCCTGGAATTCATCCTGCACTGCTGGGAAGACGGGGTACCTTAACCATGCACAGGGCACTTTCCATGGAAGCTCCCAGACCCAGGACTGCGTGTGCGCACAGACAAGAGCCGCCCTGCAGTCAGTGGTCCTTACTTCTCATCTGCATGGTGCTCCTCCGGGTCACTGACATCGTCGTCATCCACCAGGTGGCCGAAGGGCTCGGAGGAGATGGACACCATGTTGGACAGGATGACTCTGCTGTCACTGCTGCCGGTGAGAACCAGCTGGTCATGAGAGTGGTTGTAGCGGACGCTCCACACCCTGAAAAGGGCACAGCAGCTGCTGAGCTGTCCTGACTTGATGCCCTCAGAGGCCCTGGCCTGGTGGGGCTGAGTCATGTTGAGTGTCCCTGGGTATCTGACCCCCACCTCCTGGGCTGAAGGCAGGGCTCCTAAGCAGGGGGTTAGGCCTACCATATGCTGCTCTAAAATATTCTCCTAAGTCCTCACAAACAGAGATGAGAAAGACCAAATGTCAGCTTCCCCCTGTGGAGGGAGAGGCTTATTACTCAGGGTTTCAGACAGGCTTTCTACAGATCCCAAACAAAAACCCCCTCCCCAGAAGTGACACATGAATTAGTGACAACCTGTACCATCAAACAAAGCCCTGGGACATCTTTCGGGTAACGCTGGCTGCCATGGGCCCAGGATAAGGGCCTTGGCACCCCCGAGGACCAGGGACAGTTGTGGGGTGTGTCCTCCTGACATAGGCCCTGCAGTATGATGAGCCTGGTCTCTGTGGTGCTGCTCACAGTGGGACGCGGGCCCAGGCACAGAGTGTGACACAGCTGGCATGTGGAGGTGCCCCGTGTGGCAGGCACTCCCTGGCTCTCTGCTCAGGTTGCAGCAAATTATAGGCCATTCACTGAATTTCTCAAAATGGCACACGAGTCCTCTAGGGCTTTAAAATGTTCCCACTGCAGAAACAATATCGCTTCTGACAAATAATTCACCCACCAGAGACACAGCTGTGGGAGGCAAAGACCCCAGGGCGCCCAGTGCCAGGGCAGGCTCCCTGCGAGGGCCGCCACCCTTCCAGCCCTGTCCTCCACCCTCCTCTGTGCACACACTTCTGAATTTTAAAGGATGGGTTCATGCTGTGTACTATTCCATGTCTTGATCCTTTTACACACTTAGCAGAAAGTACCCAGCATATGGCAAACATTCAAATAATATTTGAGAGAGAACGAATGATCCTGGGCACCCTTCCACATCCATACACATGCAGATATTCCTCATTCTTTCTGACAGCTGCATAATCTCCGCTGCACGGATGTCACCTAATTTACTTAACCAATCCCCTCTGATGGACATTTGGGTCGCTTCCAGTTTTCATGCATTGCAAACAATGCTGCGTGAACATCTGTGCACGTTTACTTTTGCAGATTTGAACCAGCACTGTTCAAGGGAAAACAGGATCCCATGTTTTTCTTCTTTTCCTACGCTTATAAATCACAAACACTCAGATTTGAAATTAGTGCTTCTTTAGGAAAAATAAAACTGGGTTGATTGAATGATTCACAGCAGTACAAACTAAGCTGGTTTGTGCCTCTCCAAATGGTAAAGTAATTAGCAAAATAAATTATACAGTCCCCTTTCCCTCAAGCGGATGCGAGCCACAGTACCAGTGGGAGTGTTCCTCCAGGGTCTTCACCGGCTCCGTGACGTTCCTGGTGTCCCAGAACTTCACCTTGCAGTCATCCCCACAGCTTGCCAGGTAGTACTGCTTATTAGGGTTGAAGTCGAGGTCGCGCACCAGCTGTCCGTGGGCATTCTCGATGCAGTATATCTGGCTGAGAGAGGAAAAAGAATAGCACATGAGAACGTTTAATGGGTGACGGAGAGCTGCCGAGTCGCAGGCACACCTGTCTCCAGGGCCCTCCAAGCCCCCCTGCCAAGGGTACGGCCCTCCCCGCTGCCAGCAGCTGAGCAGGGGAATCTCAGCCTGGGGCGCCTGGGTCCCCTCTACAATCCTCACCTGCACGAGGAGGGCACAGGGCACCAGGAGCCTCTGAGGGCAGAAGGCAGCCAAGTGCCCCAGGGTGTGTTTGTGATCCCCCTGAGCTGGGGAACAATGTGGGCTCACAGCTACCACAGAGGAAGCCTGGTGTCTGGAGGAGAGAGGCTGGGGGACCACATTGCCGGCGAGAGCTGAAGCCGGCCTGTGGAAGGACACCCGGCAAGTTCTGGAAGGATACAAGAGGGAGGAAGGAAAGGAAAGGAAAGGAAACAAATGGCAGTGGAAGAAAGCAAATGTGTGGCTGGTGTTGGGAGCCACGTAGCGAGAGCAGGAAAGCCCTGGGAGGCCTGGAGAGAATCGAGGGAGGTGGGCTGGCCCACACCCCTTGGGATCTCATCACCACATGGCCAGTGGGATCTGCTTGTTCTGAAGGCAGGGACAAGGGAATAGGTGTGAAAGGGCGTGTCCATATAGGAGCGTCCATATAGGAGTGTCCACATAGGAGCGTCCACATATGAGTGTGCGTGCACGTTTACTTTTGTGTGTGTTGTTTATGCAACAGATACATACACACACACACACACACACACACACACACTCCTATACCTGGGCATGCACATGCACAGGGCCCCTACACACGGGTGCCCAGGTACACAAGCACCCCTAACCTGATCCCACACCTCCTGCTGCCGGCTGCCTTCCAGTGAGACTGGACTGGCCCAAGAGGCCTGTGCGCTCGCCCGTGCTGCCCTGCTCTCCCTGTGCACAGCGCTCTGCTGGCTTCCCCATTGGTGGCACGGCAGCCTCTCCTGCCACCTTTGACATCCTCGCTCCCTGTGGCACCAGTGGGGCTACCAGCACCTTGCAACCATGCCTCGCGGGTCAGAGGACAGTCGCTCTTCCCTGCTCCCTGATGCAGACCAGCTCGGCCCCTTCACTCCCACGCTGGCCCTAAGCTGTTTTAAATCTTGAGCTGGTTTTTATATCCAGCACCTTTTCGATATCTTAACATTGTTTTTGTAAAAGTAAGAAACCCCAATCTTTGTGAGTTTTCAGGTGAAACAGACACAGGTATAAAATTAAAAACTGGCACATCCCAGGGAGCTGGTGGGTGATCACAGTGCACTAATTACCAACTGCAGGGCCACGGCATGCTCTAGTGGCAGTGACTTTGACATACAAACATGGCGCATTCTAGAAGAAATGCCACAGGCACCGCGGCAAGATAAAAACTGAAGCCGATATAAAAGAGAGGCTAACAGACAGCAGAATGGCTCCTTGCTGTGTCCCTGCTTCCTGCAGGAGCCACCTCCTGGCCAGAGAGGCAGCAGGCGTAGGGAGGTGACAGTGGGGTGCGCCCACTGGGGCCGACTCTAGTTGGGCCCACGTGTCATCTTTCAGTTCCTTGTCAGGTCCTTCGCAGAGCAGTGGGCAGGGGGAGGGGACCACAGGCCATGGAGAGCAGCTCCCGAGGTCTGGCCACAGCTCCCCACCACAGCAGCCCTGGGTGCAGGGATGTGCAAGAACAGGAGCAGCCAGCCTCTGGCCACTTGCAGCCCCTGGGTCTTCAGAGGCCTTGGGACTGAACTTAAAGGTGTGCCCCCCTCCCCGGAAGCAGCACGAGTTACTGCATGACATCCGTCTCTTCAGCGCAGTGATAAATTATGGTGTGCCAAGGGGATAAACTGCATCTTAAAAAAGCTTGTGCAGCTCCTGTTGCCATGGCAACAGACATCCCACCATCACTCCTTTGCCTATCAAAATCACAACTGGAACAGAAAAATCGCTCTTGTTTGTTCCATTAGAACTGCTGGTTGTTGCACATAATTACTTAAATGACAAAATATGACTACCCGACAGGTATGTCTCTTGAAAGCACAGCAGCGGTCAAAGCCAAGTCCTGGAGGGAGGCTGGAGCAGGGCGGCCATCGCCAGCCCTCAGGGGCTCATCGTGAGGCAGAGCACCGTAGCCCCATCACAAAGCCTGGTGGCACCGTGAACTGCACAAGCAGGGACAGCAACCGGGACAGCACAGCCAGCCAAGGCACAGGGCCCCATGCACACACACTCTGGCTTAACTTGGGGAGATGATTTTGTGATTAGCCTGCAAAAATGGCATAAAGACAGACCACGTGCCCCCAAATGCACCTGGCTTCTAATCACCTCTGCCATCCAGGGAAGAGGCAAGGGAGGAAGACACAGGGACAGGCACACGCACCCGTCACTGACCTCATGCTACGCGTGTCCCAGCCTCGGAGGGTGGTGTCGCTGGCTGTGGCCACCTGGGTGCAGTTGTGATGCGGGCTCCAACGCCCCGAGGTGAACTTCAGCTGTCCTTTCCCTTCCAGGGACGCCGAGCTGGCCAGCTGGGAGTGCAGAAAGAGGAGGAGAGAAATCTGAACCCTGTTCAGGAAAACTCAAGAGGGCATCCGATACTCAGGATTTAGGGAAAGTAACCATCTGAACAATTAGGAAGGCTCTCTTTGTCTTCTTCCTTTAAAAGGCATGAATGTTTGAACCTCATTTGGGGGAAAAAACTAGAAAACTGAGCACAGCAAAAAATAGAAAGCATATTAATAGACCTCTATCACAGAGGACCTGCAAATGTGTGATTAAAAGTGAACCAGCTCGAACTTGAACAAAACAACATGGCATCACTCAAACGTCTGGCTTCCCCCAAGACAGACAAGGTAAGTGGAGTCCACAGGAGCAGCTCTGGAGAAACAAAGGGAAACCCCCGACTTAATCAGCTTCCTCTCCATCCTTTCTTGTGAGGACCAAAATGCTCATGCAGAGGCTAAGCATCGACAGACCTGAGACTCATTGGGAACAGTCTCTTGGGGCTGAAGCTTCCTCCGGGCAGAGAGGAGGCAAGACCCAGTTGCAAGACCTGGGGGAAGAGCTTCCTCCCGATCCCACCTCCCATGCACCGGGGACGACATGCACAAAGGACTCACCCTGGCTATACCATTATTTCCATGTGGGGTCTGGGTGGCCTACTCTCACTCACAGTGACTTCTGAGGGTAGAGGCTGCAGGCTGCCTTGGGGGTACGCTCTATCCCACCCCAAGCTGTCCCCAGCGTACACAAGCTCTCCATTGGTTAATTCACCTAAGCGTTCAACAACAGTGCTCGAGAGCCCTCTGAGCAGCCAGGTGGCCAAGCATCCAGGGAGGCAGGCCAGGCTGTGGCAGCCCTGGACAAAGGCCCTGGAGAGGCAGAGAGGCCCAGCGACAGTCCTGGGGACTGATGGGTGTTCATCGAGGGCTTTGTTGAGCAAGGGCAGTGTAAGTGTCCAGACTCAAGAGATGAACAGGCCTGGACTTACTGCTCGAGCCATGATTTAATCAGAAACCCCAGCACTGGGTAGCAGGTTGGCTAGAGCAAAGGATGGGAAAGACAGGCTCCTAAAGGGACAGAAAGGTCCCCACCTGCCCAAAGCTGAGGACTTAACAGTTCAGACCACACAGGCTAAGACCTCCTTTCCCTCCCAGCTGAGGCCTCCAGCATCCTGGGGTGAGTGGACTGTCCTCTGGGCACTTCTGAGCCTGTGCCCAACCTTGAAGAAAGAGACTGGAAAGGCTGGAGCACCTAACAGTCCTGGCCTGGTCCTGGGACAGACATGGGGCCACTGAGGGATTCACAGAGCTGGGCCTAGTGGGGAGGGGCAGGTCTGGCCCAGAATGATCATGACTGAGAGCCTGGGGTGAGAGGCCCAAGGGCAGGTGACAGAGACTGGCAGAGCAGGCAGGCAGTAAGGACCCAGCCGAGAACAGGAGGCAGACGTGGCGAGCCCCAGGAGCAGCCACGGCCTCAGACCATGACCTAAGGACGATGAGCAGGGCGCCCCTCCCACCCAGAACTCCTGCTCTGAGGCCCTCTAGGGGAATCTGGGAAAGGGCCCCCACTGCTCACCAGGGAGACGGCCCAGCTGAGAGACCAGCAGCCCTCCAGCTGACTCCAGCAGCCCTCCAGTGAGACCCTCCCTCACCCTGCAGGACCTGCTCTCTGCTCGGAGCTGTCCTCTTTGTCCCAGGAAATCCTCCCCCAGCCCACTCTCCTGCACATTAAATGAGGAGTCTGAGACTTGGCGACTCATGACCTACACACCATGTGTGACCCATTAACTCTCTCCACAGAAAGCTAAGGGGCTGTTTATGTTCTGTGCAAAACGTGCTCGTCACATCCCTGGAGAGGCCCTGGCAGGCACTGGCGGTGCCAGACCAGGGGCCAAACGGGAGCAGCCGCCAGGGTACAGAGAAGTCCTGGAGGACAGGGAACACGGGCAGAACTGACAGGAGGACAGCAGGGTCTGGGGCAGGGGCGGGACACCCATGCTGAGATGGCGAGGAAGCGAGAGCCCAGGCAGCAGGTCGCTGTGGTCACTCTCAGGGAGCAGAACATGGAACTCATGGAAATGGACCTGCCGCAATGTGTGCAGAGGTGCAGGGCCAGAGCAGGCGCAGCAGGTGGGGGAGAGCCAGGGTCCCGTGGGATGTCGGGAAGAAGAGCTGGAACAAGGACAGGCAGAGGTCACCCAGCAGTCCTGGGCACTCTCCCTAGCATGCCAGCTGCCCACACAGCAGCTCAGAAACTGAACTCGGACTAGCTTGAGAAAAAGGGAACTCGACTCTAAGAAGCCAGTGTCCAGGGCAGGGTGATGGCTGCAGGTCAGGAACAACCAGCATCAGAGACCACTCCCACTGCCATCTCCGCCCTCTCCACACCTCCCAGTCCCCCTCCCAGCTTCCTCACATCCAAGGGCAGGAGGCAGAGGTACCCAGAGCACCCGTCTTGACATGTCACTGACTAGGCACCCGGGAAGAGCACAGTGAGCCTCAGGGCTCCCCCAGAATTCCTGGAGGATGTCGGCTGGCTCAGCAGGCCAGGGGCCCACTGCGACAGCGGTGGAGAGTGTAGGGGCTGAGAGAGGCGCTCCGCTAGATGGTGGTGGTGTGTCCTGCCTCCTCCCTCTCCCTGTCAGGCTCCACCAGACCCTTTCTTTGTGTGACCTTTGCAGAGAGCAAGCTCAGCTCTCTACAGGCTGAGACTGCTTGGCAGACGCCCAGCAGGGACGAGGCAGGAGCTGGGCACAGGTAGCCCTGCAGCAGGGCTGATTCCCAGCTAGAGGGCAGGGGCCCTGGGCAGTGTGACGCCCAGGAGAGTGTCACCATCACCAGCCACACAGGCGGAGGAAGATGATGGCAGCAATCTCAGTCCTGGGGAGACAGCTGGGGGGAGATGAAAACAGCTCCTTTCCACAGCCACGAGGGGCACAGTGGCCCAGAGAGGAAAACCAGAAGCACCAGAAGCCACGCTGCCATGACAGAGACACAGGTGGCCCGGGCTCCTGGACGCCCAGCTGGGCTCAGCTTCAACCTCCACACAAGCAACTTAAACGAAGAGCTCTTTCTGCAGTACCCACCCACCTTTAGGTGGAAAAAAAAGGTCAAAATTTTACAGGCGTCATTTCAGTTTTCTGAAGATGAGGTTACCAGGTTAATGATCACCGTTGATGACAACAAACGTTAAAAAGTAATAGATTGAGCTGGGTGCAGAGGCACGCCTATAATCCCAATGGCTTGGGAGGCTGAGGCAGGAGGATCCCAAGTTCAAGGCCAGACTCAGCAATTTGGTGAGAACCTAAGCACCTTAGCAAGACTGTCTCAAAATAAAAATTAAAAATGGCTAGGAATGTGGCTCAGTAGTTAAGCATCCTGGGTTCAATCCCTGTTACAGAAAACAAATGAGTGAAGATAATAACAATAAATAACAAAGCAAGGGATGAAGCAGCAGGACAACCAGGGCTGGCTGCCGTCTGGCTCATCAATCCTGGGTCTCGTCCCCACCCACTGAACGTCTGTTGCACTGCTATGGGGACCAGCAGCTCCGCAGTGAGCTGCACCAGCTGGTTCAGAGTGTCCTGGAGAACAGCAGGTGGCCGCAGCCTCCAGCAAGCACCCAGCGGACCTCACAGGAGTCACCCGTCACGGCACCTCCTCCACTTCTAGCCTGGAGGCCTCAGGAGCCGAAAAGCCAGGCCGAGCAGCCCCTGCTCCAGAGCAGTGGCCCAGCTCCAACGCAGCCAGGACTCTTCCAGACCCAGAAACAATGCGGCACCAGGGGAAGAACCAAACTGCCGGCAAGCAACCATCAGCCACGCAGCCCCCGCCAGTGCTCCCTGAGTGACTCCTCGGCCCACAGTGCCACTCCCCTCACACCGACTGTCTGACCACCGAGGAAAAGTGAGACCAGAGTGGGGGAGCCCAGGGGAGACCAGAGTGGGGGAGCCCAGGAGAAACCAGAGTGGGGGAGCCCAGGGGAGATCAGGGTGGGGGAGGCCAGGGGAGATCAGGGTGGGGGAGCCCAGGGGAGATCAGGGTGGGGG